ATCCGTCGTTCCCCTACCCCATTGGTATTCCTGTAGAACATTCTCGGCAAACTCATTTAATCTTTGAACCAATATGTTGGAGAATATTTTGTACGCTACTCCTATGAGCGATATCCCTCTGTAATTTTCGCAGAGCAGCCTGTCTCCCTTTTTATGTATAGGGTTGATTAAACTTGTTTTCAACTCTGCTGGCATGCATTCTTCGTCCCATATCTCCTCAATTAGCAAGTACAATTGATTATTTAGCTCCTCTCCACCTTTTTAAAGAATTCCGCAATCAGAAGGCCTTCTCCAATGGCTTTAACATTTTTTAATTTGGTAATTGATTCTACCACTTCCTCAATTGAGAGCGGTTCTAAATCAGACAAGTTTTCTAGCTCCGGTGTCTCGTCAGGGTCTGTGCTTCTCACATTCAGAAAATCATTGAAATGTTCCTCCCATCTGTCAATTATCATGTTTTTTTTCTAAAATTTTCCATTTTTATCTTTACATGCATCAACCTCACGTTGAAATCCATGATTATTCATATATCTTACTGCCCCATAGAATTTCCTCATTTCATTATTCACCCTCAGTTCCTCTATTTGTTCAATCTTCTTTGCTAAGAATTTCCTTTTTTTCTTTCTAATAATCTTTTTGGCCTTTCTTCTGCTTTCATTATAGGCGGTGTAGCTTTGTCTGGTGGAGCATTGGAGTACAGCTAATCTATGATCATTTTTAACATTCAGGGCTGCTGCACACTCCTCATCAAACCATTCCTCTCTTCTCCGCTCTCTCCTCTCTCCAATCACTTTATCTGCAGAGTCCTCAATAACTTTTCTAATTGTATGCCATCTCTCTTCGACTTCACCAATTCCAATTCATTTCAAATTTTCTGTTAGCTTTTCACTTACAGATTCTTTAAATTGCTCAGTGATATTTTCAAGATTAAATTTTTCCAAATCCCATTTCTTCCTATAATGCCGACTCCCAGACTTCACTTATGCTAATCACTCTCTAAACTTTACTTTGACTAAAAAGTGGTCTGAGTCACAATTAGGTCCACGGGCAGTCTTTACATCAATAATTGATAATGCATGCCTTCTATCCATCAATACAGGATCTATCTGGGTCACTGCACCATTGGAGGGCTTTCCACGTTCCCTTGTGTATATTTTTTCATTGGAAAAATGTACTTTTAATCTCGGGCAGCATGGTTTTCTCTGGTGGACAGAAAAAATTCAGAAAAGATAGCTGAGTCCTGTGCTGAAAGTTATGGAGGCTCTTTCAGTGAAAGTTGTGGCACCTCAATGTTTACAAACTGCTTGTATCCTCCAGAAAGAGCCAATGAGACTTTAAAGTGAACACAAGTAAAAAAAGGAGGAGGAAGGTTAAAGCAACTTGAAAAATTACACCAACGAATCAATCAATCAATCATCATGGCTCCATGACCCAGTCTCGAGTTAGCAGCTTCCACCAATTGTCTTTGTCCTGTGAAGATTCCATCCAGTTCCTTATTCCAAGAACACCTCTTGCATTATCATTTACACCATCAAACCAACGTAATCTAGGCCTTCCTTTCCTTCTTGTGCCAAACTTGCTTAGGGGACTTCTTTGGTATTTTCTCCTCTTTTGAATAGATGAAAATGCCACAATGTGGATGTTTTCTCAAGCAACGGTGCAGAGTATACATTAAATATATGTGTAACTCCCCCACACGAATTTCTGAGAAGAAGTCGAAAGTGCTGTAGAGAAACTAAAGAATGATATGTATGCGAGTGAAAGCTGTGTCCCACTAACTAACAACTAAGCAGAGTTACTGCTAGTGAAATGAATTATCTTCAAAGGGCAGTTGGCCGAACCAGGAGAAGCAGGATCAGAAATTAAAAAATAAGAGAGGAACTAGGCACTGTCTCACTAAAGGATTCTGTAGAAAAGAGGCTGCTGAGATGGTTTGGGCATATATACTGAATGAAAGAATACCATGATCCACAAAAATTCATGGAGGCTAGAGCCATTGTAAAAGCGCCAAAGAGGAAGGATCCACATTGTCGTGGATGGAGTACTTGTCCCAGATCGTGCAGAAAAGAGTTATATGGATAAGGGATAGCACTAACTTAGGACTGAAATGCTTGGAATTCATGGATCAAGGCACCTTCATGAGGTAAAGAACAAAGGAGGTAGAGAAAGAAGAGTAGAGCGATTCCTCTTTAATTACCTGGACATATTAATGACATGGTCCAATTAGATGCCATTAACATGTATCATCCATACTGTAAGTATAATATTTTGCAGTGTTTTATGCAGTCAGCTGCCACCTTGTTTGAATAACTGTGAAGGTGAAATTATTGTGTAGTTTATTCACTGCATCCTCTATCTCGTCCACAGAAGATGGCTCAAGATCGGGCAAAGTCGCTTTGATGTCTTCCTCTCCGACCTAATTCCGAGCTTCCATAGCTGAAGGTGTTCTCTTCATTGTTAAGGACACTATTAGAATTATTATTTCTCCACTGCTTGAGAACATCCTCTTTATTCATTAGCAAATTGTCTTCCTGATCCTTAAACAAACGCTGCTTTAGGATCAACGGTTTTCTGCTTCTAATCACCTTTTGGAAAAAATCTCTGTATTGCTTATCTTCTCGTAGCTGTTTAGTCTACTTGAGTTCCTCTAAAACTTTTTCCCTCTTCATTCTTTGGTGCAGGTGTTTTTATTCAGTACTCCTGGAGTGTTCTCCTTGTACTTCTATTCAATATAGCCCTACAAGCTTGATTCGTAAGGCTTGTGTTCTTTCATGGAGGTCCTAGTGTGCTTTCTGCAGCATACTTAATGGCGTCAAGTCATATCAACCACTGTTTTTCAGCACTATTGTCATCAAAGGCACAGGAGCAAAGATTTTAATTCAGCTTTCCTGCATTCAGCTACTGCACTTCTGGTTTAGAAGGTTCTTGAGATTAAATTTTAATTTCTTGTGCTGTCCTGTTGTGGGGTTGACAGAAGATATCTTTGCATAGATCTGAACTACACTGAGATAATGGTCATAGTCTATGTTAGCTCTTCTGAATACTCTCACATTAACCAGATTGGACCTGTGTCTTCTCCCAACCTGTTTATGGTCAATTTGATTAACAATACTTCTGTTAGGAGTGGCCCAAGTTCCTTCATGTATTCTTTTATGGGGAAAGATTGTGCTCTCTTTGACTAGTTCTCTCAAAGCTGCAAAGTGAAACAAGTAAAAGGAGCCTGTTAAACAAAGACAAGAGATCGCTGAGCATATTGTACTAGTCTTTATCTGTAGTAGATCGCAAAGCAAGCACATACAACACTTCTCTGCAGCAGTCTCTCAAATTGCCCAAGAGGCATGGCAATTTCGTGAATACAGGCAGTCTCCCACAGAAGTACCTACTTGCACCCTCTGTAGCCCCTGCCTAAACCCTTGGCTTACTATTGAAGTTTTTCAGATTACTTCAGTTTCACTATCACTTTAAGAACCAATTTAGGTAAAGTACAATATCTAAAGGTATTGTATTACAGTTACATCCAATTTGTTTCCTCTTTGAAAAATCAGGCTTGTTTTCTTGTAGAAATTATGTGTTAAGAGGTTTCACTATCGAAATAAATCATTAATTTTCCAATTTTCTTTTAAACTACAGAATATTTACTTAACCAATTAGATTGGTCTTAACTTTTGAATTAGCTGTTCTTGACCACAAATTTTAATACTTACTCAAGAAATGCCTGAAAATGGCTATAAAAGGAAATTGTTTATGGTAATTTTCCTCTTCTTAATCTTGTCCTCTTCTACCCCAGAGCAGTGTGAGGGATTCCTGCTTGTAGAGTCTGATCCAAGAGTCCCAATCCTGTACAAGCAGGTTGTGCCTGTTCCAGTCCATTCCTCTCCTACTGAATGCCTCCTGAACTACTCCTTCCCAATTGTTTCTAGGCCTTCTTCTTGGCTTTCGCTTAATTCTTGTCCACACAGTTTTGGCAATTCTTTTCCTCTGCATTCTTTTAATATGACTAAATCATTGTAGCCGGTTCTCTTCCATTATAAGTGTGGTTGATTTGATTTCCAGATTACTTCTAATTGTTGTATTTCTGATCCTGTCCCTTCTTGTTTTGCTTCTATCCTCTTCAGGTAACTCATCTTCATTGCTTGTATTTGACTCCTATGTCTTGATGTCAAGAGTTCAAGACTCACTGGTATAGGTCAGTAGAGGTCTGAATGTTGTCTTATATACAACTTTTTTAACCTTTTTAGAAACTTCTATCTTTCACAGGAAACCAGACTTGAGTGAATGGAAACATTTTTTGGCCAATTTTATTCTTTCTCTGATTTCTCCGTCCATTCAGCCTTTTTCATTGAGATGAACCCCCAAGTGCCTGAAGTCTCTAACTTAATCCATCTCTCCCTTTATTCGAAGTATTCTGTCTCCGCGTTCTTCCTTCCTTCCTATCCTCATTTTTTTATTTTGCTGGTGTTAATCTCCATGTTTAACAACTACAATTCTTCATGTAGAATTGTGAGGTTAAATTGTAGATTTCTTCTCCTATTCCCAAATATGACTATGTCATCAGGATAGACAAGGGGTGTGAGGTAAACTATAGTTTATTCTCTGTTCATTCTAATCTTTGCCATTTTTAAGCCCTTGCTTAGAACCATTATAAACACTAGTGGAGTAAGACTACAGCTCTACCTTATTAGGGGACGGGGTGGCAAAATGGGCTAACGCGTGTGTACAGCACAGCGAGTTGCCCGGCAACCAGATAACTGAAGTTATATGGGATTTAAAAAAGTAGGAGTTCGCGTCCTAGAGGAGATTTTAAATTTCCTGCCCTCACTCCCTAGCCCGGAAAACCCTGTATAGCCTAAACAGCAAGGTAGGGAAGAACAAAAAAAAAAAGCTCTACCTTATTCCTTGGGTGCTCTTGAACTCTTTGGATGAGTGGTTGTTGGTTATCACAACCTTTCTATGTTTTTTATACAAACTCAGCATAGCCCTTGCTAGACCTGCTTTGACATTCTGCTCTTCCAGAGCCTTGGGTTATATCAGTCTTCCTGACCCTGTTGAATGCATGCTTAAGGTCTACACAACATGTATAAACTTCTTCTGAGATCTTTGCAAAGTGCTGTCTCATCGTAAATATTAGGCCTTGTGTGCTTCTTTTTGGCCTGAATCCGTCTTTTTCCTGTTCTAGGGTACTCTCGATGACTCCCTTTAGCCGCTTTTCCAGAATTTTAGAGTAAACCTTGCAAGGTATACCTTAATGAGATCCATACCTCAGTGGTTTCGGCAGTCCCTGTAGTCTCTCTTCTTATGTATTGGGGATATAACTGATATTTCCCAATCCTTGGGAACCTCTTTTATTTTTTTGCACTAAGTTTAGGAGAAGTTGAAATATTTTCTGGCTTTAGGTCCCATGTGTTTCATCAACTCTGTTGTTATGCCATCTATGACTGCTGAGTTACCCATTTTTAGGGTTTCTATAACATCTGCTACTTTCTCTTCTCCAATGAAATAATCTTCTCTCCCATCAAAGATTTCTTTGATGTGGGCATTTTGTTCAATCAGAGTTATATGTCTTATATTATCTTTAAATATTTCTTCCAAATGTTCATCTCATCTATTCATTATTTTTTCATTGCATACTTTGTTTTTCCCACAGACCTTCCTCTGCTGCATCCAACAATATCTGTTTTATTGCATTCAAGCTTTTCTCTATGTATTTGGGGTTCCAGTGGTATTTATTGTCAGCCACATTTTCTTCTACTGCTGTTTTATATGATTCAGTTAATTCTTCTGATTTAAGTTTGTTGCTTAAATCTTAAATACTTACATATACATACTTAATATACATCTTAAATATCTTAGTGGGGCCTGATCTTTTCCCTACCTATAGATGGGTTATTCAGAATCATGTCCATTATCTTCATTATCAGTAGCCTATGGTTTCTCCCCAGTTCAGCTCCTCTATTGATTCTATCGACTCTCGTGTTCCCGTCCTCTTTTGAGATCAGAAAGTGATCTATAATTTATTTTCCATTCATAGAGAGTTCAGCTCTAGTAATTTTGTAAATTTCCTTGTGGAAGAGAAAAAGCTATTTGCCAGAATCATGCCAAGCAGAAGTCCAAAATCCTTTCTCCATTGTCCCTTCTACAATTCTCTCCATGTGTTCCTATCACTCCGTGCCATCTCCTGATGTCTCTATCAACTCTACCATTGAGGTCACCCATAATGATAGGGGTTCCTATCATCCAGTATCTCCTGCAGGTCTTCAAAGAAAGTTTCTATCTCTCACACTGGCATTGTCATTGGGGCCATATGTAATAATTAATATGTATTCTATGTGCTCTAATTTTAGTTGCACAGTCATGTACCTTTAATTAATGGCTTTCCAATTCAAAATGTTTGCAGTTAATTCTTTGTGTATATTTAGCCTGCTCCCCCTCCCGCATGTTTCTGATAGTTGATTCCAGAGTACAGTAGGACGTATTCTCCAATTTACTCTTCTCCTTTTCTCTTCTTTGCTGTCTCTGTAAGACCTATTAAGTGTATTTAGGCTTTCTTTAATCCTTCGACCAATTCCATCTCCTTTCCTCTGAATATATCCATCATTAATAAACCAATATCTAAAAGTATTGTATTACAGTTATATCCAATTGGTTTTCTCTTAGAACAATCAGGCTTATTTTCTTGTAGAAATTGTGCTTAAAGAGGTTTCACTATTGAAATAAGTCATTAATTTGCCAATTTTCTTTTAAAACATCAAATATTTACTTATCCAATTGAGATCATTTTTAACTTTTGAACTAACCGTTCTTGGACACACATATTAACACTTATTCAAGAAATGCTTGGAAATGGCTATAAAAGAAAATTGTTTATGGTAATTTCAAAAATATATAAATAAATAACTAATGAAGTACTGTAATTTGACTTTCCTGCAATACATTGGGCGAGTTCAAGAAAATGTTTTTCAATGTAATTAAATTATTAATAATTTTTAGACTCCTATCCACTTCACTTCAAAAATATACTACCTTATTCAGTTTTCTATATTTGCAAACATTCCCAAAATGGGTTTATTACGTATGTGGTTGGTGTCAACCTGAGGATCTTCTTGGAAGAAAACCACTGTTGGCATATGACTGCTAGTTAGCATATAATACATACAACATAAATTGACACATGTATAATGTTTACTTTATTTTGAACATTTAAAATACACAGTGATAGAAATGACTGAATTTACACAACAAAAAATCATACATTTACTTTAAGATTATGTTTCACATGTTGCATAAAACTCATTAAGGACTTCAGAATAAGACCTTTGAGGACAAGTTTGTTTATCTCTGGCAGATTTAAATTTCAGCAAATCAGAAATTGGTTTTCTTCTCTGACCATCATCGCTATCTTTGTTTTTAGAAATTATCTTCTTTTTCTCCATATTTTTATTAGACTGAATCTGATCAGTTACACCATTAGAATAGGATGCTAAAGTACTGGACAGGATTTGTTTTGTATTTTGATTTAAAGTTTTGAACCTATTTGTCTCTCGAGAAATTTGTTTAGGAATTTTAGAAATGTCAGACTTTTCTTTTAAATAATCGCTTTTTTGTTGTTTCATCTTTTTGGATATGATTTCTTTATTTAGTTTTGATTCAGCAATATCTGCTAGAAGAAAATTTTGTATTCTAGCCTTCACGTTATTAACAACATTACCAACTATAGCATGTAAACCAACACCATCTTTAGAATTAGTTATTAATTCACAATTTGATGAATCATTCCTATCAGGAACTTTTGCAATAGTTTCTGATGGAATGGCAGCAGGATTTCTTTGGTCAATTATCAGTTCAATATCTGATATCAGGTCTTTAGTTCCTCTTAAATTTGTATTCTGATCTTTACTTTCATCTTTCAATACTCCTGATTCTGTTTTTTCAAACTGATATTCAACTAGATTTGGTTCACTTGTGTTTCCTTTGGTCTCGTAGCCCATTTCTGTAAAAGTAGGTTTATATTCTATCTCTGGTTTCATATTATGAATTTTAGTGATAAAAGAATCATCATGTTCATTATAATTTTCAACATTTTTTTGTAATTTAAAATTTTGCTTAAGAATATCATCTTTTTTTTGAGTACAAGCAAATAGTTTGGTAGTTGCTTTTGCCTTTGGCATCACAGGTTTCTCATTAGGTGTTTGTCTTGGCTGTGTTAAACCACATACTAGACGAGAGGGAGTATCTAAGAAATAATTTTTGCAGATCTCATTTTCTTCATTTTGGAAAACATGAAGTGGCAACCCTTTTTGAGAAAGTATTGCACTAGAACTGGCTAATTTTAAGTTAATTTTATTTTTTTTCTGATCATTTTTAAATCTCATATCAATTTTAGGATGTTTTGATTTTTTCTTTTTTGAATTTGTCGCTGATTGCTTAAGTTCTGATTTAATTCTGTTTTTTACTACATGACCAGCTTGCCGTTTTTTAACTGTACCTACATGCATTTTATAAGAACTTTTTTGTGAATTTGATGGTCGTAAACTTTGGGAAATAAAACCTTCTAGTTTTGGTTGGTATTTTAAGATATAAATGGGATTTTCTCTATATTGCTTTTTTTTATTGCTTTTATTTATTTTTTTTAAACAGTGTAATGATGATCTTGAACCAATGTTGTTTGTTTCTTTATTTTTCTCCTTTTTGAAATTTGTTAGTTGCTGAGTTAAATTTAGCTCCATATTTTCTACTTTACTGAATTTATCAACTTTATATTCATTGATTTGTTTGAACTTATTCGCTGAACAAATTATATTAAAATAAGGTTTTTTCGCCTCAGTTGATATTTTTATTGGATTACTTTTACTGTCAAAAAATGAATTACTACTAGAGAAATTTCTTGTTTCGAAACCTCTACCAATTTTATTCCTTGTTATTGTTTGCTCTTTAGACTCTTTTATAGGTACTGTTTTATTAATACCGTTAATGTGTAAATGAAGCCCATCTTCCTTTCCTTTTTTTGAATCCCTTTTATTTTCTTCACCTTTCTTTTTATCATTTTCTGCATTTAAGAAGCTCATTAAGGTATGTGATTCCCTTCTAATTATACTGCTTTCATCTCGTGGCTTCAAATTATTTGATAATTTATGTTTTATAGATTTCACTCTTTTGTCTTCTGTTATAGCCTCTAATTTCTTTTTATGTTTTGATAAATAATGGTTTAATTTTGAAGTGGTATCACAATCTGCAGTCAAATTTAGCTTTGCTAATGTAACTGATTTGCCAATATCTTTTCTTAAGGGCGATTTGGTATGTTTTCGATCTCTGTTCTTAAACTTATTTGAATCAACTTCACACAATGTTTTTTTTAAATGACATTTTTCCATTCCTTTGTCTTTAGGTTCTATTTTAAATTGCCTAATACATCTTAAGCCAGTTGGAATAGATTCATTGACATGTGACTCAGAATTATTTACATCTGTTTTTTTATTTATAATGTTTTTTACATCATTGTGTTCATTTTTTAGGGGTTTTCCAACTCCAATAGCATTCATATCTACTTCTGTATTCACGTTGGTCATGTTATCATTGCTTTCGTACTCCATTATAATTGGTTTCCTAACTTCATTAATATTCATTTTTTCAAATTCTTTTTGTTCATTTATAGTTACTTCATTTGTATCACTTTCTGTCATTTTATCTGAATTTCTTGATCCTTTGTGAGGATTGAAGTTTTTTGTAAGAATTCTGCAAAAATCAAACTTTTTATTCGAAACATTTTGAATGTTACCAACAGACTTACTTAAGTTGTTTGAAGTTCTAGTATTATCACTATTTAAATGTTTCTGTATTCTATTAGAATTGCTATAATTTTGCCTGTTGGTACTTTCAGTTTTAAAGCAGATGCCTTTAAATGATTTCTCTCCAGCTTTAACATTATTCATATCAGTTGTGGATTTCATTTTTAAACCCGATTCAGTCTTATTAATCTGACCATGACTAATATTCTGATGGCTCATTTCTTGTAATAGCTCATTACTTGTTTCCAAATTTTTATTGTTGCTTGTAATTTGTTTGGAGTTACTAATTATATCACAATCTTCGTTTATTTGGGAAAGTGTTTTTTCATGATTCCTAATGTGAATAAGTTTTTTTTCTTCTTCCTCTATTTTTTTCATAACTTTTAACTTATTGAAACTATTTTCTAAAAGTTCGGTAGATATAACTTTATTTATATTTGAATTTATCCCAGACTTATATTCATTCTCCACGTTCTTCTTTAAAGACTTTGTCTTCACTTTTTGGCTTATATTGGATTCAATACTTCTTTTTTTTTTTGTCATTTTTAAGGTTGGAGAGTCCAATATTGAAATTGGAGATGAAGACTTTATGATATTTTCCAAATTTTTATGATTTTTCGATGGTATGACATCATCAGATTTCTTCAGCTTTTCATGACTGTTGGATGAAGCTAAGCTACTCAAATTTTTTGTATCCATTTTATGTTTTTTAACAACTTTTGTTAAGTATTCAAAGGTGCCTCTTTTGCACTCATTTACTATTTCAGAAAGGTCTGTATTATTTTTTCCCAGAAATTTAATATCAGTTGAATAAGAAAGTTCCTTTAAAAATAAATTTCTAGTTTTTATTGCTTCATCTGTGTTATGATTTGAAACATTCTTTTTTTTGTACCCGTTGGAGTCATTACCATGAAAAATCTTTTCTTGAGTTGGTTCTGTTGTAAGAAATGCCTCATTAAGATTTTTCTCCAGTGTTTTTATGTCATTTGAGATCATTGTGAAATCATTGCCTGAAGATAATGTATCAAGTTTTTTCATGTAATGCAATACTTCTGGTTCAATTTCGGCTCTATTAGAATTTTCTATAACTGAAAAGGAATGACATACGTTAGGTTCAGAGCCCGCTTGGTAATATTGATTAATATTTTTGTCTTCTTGTTTTATATTTGGTGAAGATTCTTTTTCTAAATTCATTTTTGTTTCAATACTTGTTTTTTCTTTATCTTTCAGTTCAAAAAAATTGTTTTCATTATTTTTGATTCCTACATTTTTCCTGCTATTATAATTATATATTTCTTGAAAAGTTAACATTTTCATATTTAATGGTATAGTTGCAGCTCCTTGAAATGAGCTTTTTGAAATTGATTCGGAGTTGTTTATTGCATTTGAAGTCATAGAATCCTGCTTTATATTTGTCTTATTAATGGCCCTAATATTTTTTGTTTCTATTTTAGGATTTGACCTCATAGTATCATTTTCTCCCATACAGTTCCTTCTATATTTACTGTAAAAACACATGTGCTTTGAATTGGTAAGACTAAACATTTGTGACCCTATGTCATCAGTACTTGATTCTTTTACCATACTTTTTATACACTTCATGGGTATCCTGCAGTCCAATACTTCAATAAATGAAGTATCTTTAGGGTTTTGTTCCAAAATTAGTGTTCCACATGTTTTTATTTTTTCTATCACATCTGAGACCTCTTCTTTAGTTCTTGTTTGCATTGGAACTATTTTATTGATAAATTCAAAATCATTTGATGATGTGCTTGATGGGCATAGGTTTTCTTCCACAAAGTTTTCTGATTCACAATTAAGTGAAACATTTTTAAAACGTTGTAAAATAAAGGTGCAATCAAACATGTCATATAGTTTTATACTTTCATTTTGTTTGATTGTTTCTGGAAATTCAGCCTTAAAATGTTTGTTGTATAGCTCCAGTTGTTGATATAACATTGCCTTAAGGTCATTGTCCAAGATCTGCCATCCATAAATCCTGTTTTTAGAATGTTTGTCTTCATTAGTATTTGCATTTATAACTATTGTAGGAATATGCTTTGAGAACATGTTCATTTCTGAAGTTACATGGGGAATATCTTTATACGCTTTAAGAAATGATACTTTATTGAAGCCGTGCATTAAAAAGACATTTTTCTTTACTTTTTTATTGAATAAACCTTCATTAATTATCAGTTCATGAAACTTATTCATCCAAGAAGTTGATTTTGGATCTAATTGCATTTTATGTTGTTGTTTTTTTCTTGTAACCAAAGTTTGATCCTGTACCACAAGTTTTTTTTTTTGCTCTTTGTACATAATGTCTTCATTTTGTAAATTATTCATTCCAGTTTTATTTGTATTAACAAATGGAAAAATAATTTCTTTTTTTGTATCACTCTTACACACGTTACTCTTCTCCTTAATACCACCTGGTAGACTAACTTCACCTAACTGTTGGCTGGATGAAGAATTTGATTCAATGTGATTCTCTAACTGTATTTCTTCTAACGTTTTGTTTTTTTGCTCCTCAAATTTTGATTTTTCTATAGCTGAAGCTTGTTTTTTTTTATTTTCCATTGATTCTAAATTTATATGTTCTTTTGAAGAAATATTTGTTGTTTTATTCGGTAATTTTTTTATAAATGGTAAGATTTTTTTCAGTTCCCTGCGAGAATAATCTATATTGTATCCTTCTGGATTATAAATTTCTTTTTTTATTTGCGGATTAATTATTTTATTATCATTTACACAGTCAACCTTTTCTCCTACTCCGTATTTTGTCCCATTCTCATCCTTAATTTGTTTTTCAAGATTTAACCTTTGCACAGTTTTTGTAACAGAAAAATTTGATTTCTCTTTATCACATGCTATATTAGATAAATGCATTATTTTTTTATTTTTATTTATATTTTTCCCCTCATGATTTCTTTCATTTTTTACTTCTTCTAATTGCATGATATTTTTATCCTTCATTTGACTGGATACTTCTGGATTAGATTTCGATTGATTTTGTGAATCAAAAGTATGGTTTTTGTCATCAATGGCTCTGTAAGACATCAAAGGCAAGTTTACTCTTAGTATATTATTTATATTTGGTCTAAGAGTATTGGATTGCTCTGTTCCCAGATGTATTAATGGAGTGTAATCAAGTTTGTAAACTTTATAATCCAAAATTTCACTGTGACAATGAAATTTATAAATTTTTGAAGGTGCCAATATATTTTTGTCCACAATTTTTATAGATTCTAGTTTAGAAGGTTCACTACTATTTTCATGTATTGCTGTTGCTTCTTTAGTTGTTATTTTAAAATTTCCAGACCCACGATTTAATCTAATATCATTTCTTATTTTAAAATTAGGTTGGGCATTTCTTAGATGTTTTTTTGATTCTGTTGATATATCTGGTTTATCACTGTGTACTCCTCTAGATATCTTATATTTGCACGATACAGTTCTTTTTTTTGGGACACAGATATAATTTGGAGAATCTGGAGTATATTTCATATACTTCATTTGTTCAGTTGGTTTGCAGTTTGTATCAGCGTTTAATGCTATGTGCTGATCTTTCTCATTGTTTTTATTTTTTAATGGCTCTGTGCTTTGATCACCCAAGGTTCCAGAAGGTTGATCCTTCGTTTTATTATTTTTACTTTCTCCAACCATATTTTCAATATTTGCTGGATATTCCTTTATTGTTTTGCTTAATATATTTGAAATCCTTAGTTTAGCTTTATTATTGCTTTGATTGTTTGGCAATATCTGTGATATATTATCAGTTTTTTTACATTCAGTGAATTTTTCAACATTTTTCGACGATTCATAGGTCTTACCAATGCCTGGAATTATCTGATTTTGTGATTTGCTACTGTCTTGGTTAACTATAATCAGTGAATTTTCACTATTTTTTTGAATGTATGGGATTAAGTGATCATTAGAAATTTTATTTTGGCAGCATTTACTGCTTTTTATTTCAGGTTCATTTTTACATTCTTTATTCTTGCTATCATCTCTAATATTTGTGGAGCTTTCTGTTTCACCATTTTTATTTTTTTTTTCAGCTGACAGTACATGTTTATCCCTGTCTTTTAGAATTCCATTTTTTGAGTTCAATTTTATGGCTGCATTCGCTTTTTTATTCAGATATTGGACTTCAATTTGCAAGTTCTTAATTACTGTTGAATCTTCTTTTCTTAAAATTGTTCCTCTTTTAGGTTTTTCTTCAGTTTTGGGTGTAGTTGTTCTTTGATTTATATGATTACTTCCTTTCTTTAATAACCTACTGTTTTCTATATTATTTTTTATAAATTCATTTAATTTTTTTTTTGAATAATATGACATTTTCGATTCTATTTTGTTTTCTTTTACATGCTTAGTCATAGGATCTGTCTTTCTGGCATTAATAAGATACTTGTCATCCAAATCATATTTAATTCTTTGACGGTTATTTTCATATATTCTTTTGGGCTTAACACTTTTTTGAACAGACATTTTACCATGTTTAGCTGCAAGTTTTTTTATATACACATCTAATTCTGGTTTTTGAAAACGTTTTACTTTTAGTTTCAATAATATTTCATCCGTTTTAGGGATCAGATTTATTGTTTTATGCTTTCGAATTCGACTCCTATCTTCATTTCTATTGGGCTGCTTGGATTTGTTTTCAGAAACCATCACTAAAGATTTTTCTATATTGTTTTCAATATAGATGTTCACTAAAGATTCTGGTGGGTTTTTTATACATTCTAATGTCAGCGATTTTTCTGCTGGCTTGTTCCTATTTAGATCAGTCTTATTGTAGTTGCTCATTATTAATTTGTAATTTTTAGGTATATTTGCATTTATGGCTTCCTTTATTGAATCATCAAGAACACTTTGAGAATCTAGTAATTCTTTCTGATCGTTTTTCTTTTTCAAAACTACATGCTTAGTCTCAAAATGGGGTAATGCAATTTTATTCATAACTGTTTTGTAGAATCTTTTTGGTTTTATGGACTCTGCCAATAATTCCACATTTTTTGATTTTTTATTAATTAAATTAGTTATTTTGAATTTAGGTGCTGATACATTAAACTCATGCAAAGTTTTATTTTGGGATATATTTTGACTCTTGTTTTTAACATTGCCTATATGGTCTTGAAACTTTTTTATCTTTGTTTTTTTCATCCATGCAGGGATTATTGTCAATTTATCAACTTCACTTGTTTTTCTTGATCCTGCTTTTGTCATTATTTTTGGAGGCATCATATACCGACTGGAAAACCCCCGTGCAATCGTTAATGTGAGGGGTATCTGAAAATAAATTAATCTTTTTGGACTCTCACATAAAAGTGTTGATACTATGATATAAAATTATGATAATATTAAGATGCAACTATGGATTAGAACACCATAAGTTAAAAATATAAGAGAAAGCTTTTTTTTTCATGGCATTTACTAAAGCAAACTTTTAGATCTTATGCCATTATAAAGAATAAATAAATAAAGGATAAATGAAGGATGAATAAATAAAGGAAAAATCCTCAAAAATCTTATTTTATATCTTCAGTTCAGAATCATTGTTTAGGCAGCGGATTTTTAATTAAGGTTTTTTAATTTAAAAGATTATTTAATTAATAAAATTAATAAAAACATTTTAATCTATTTAATTTTAAATAGATTGCTATCTGCTTTGAGGGACGTACAATCCTTTAGTGATATAGTCTTTGGGCCAGATCCCCCTACCTCCTCCCTCCCCCACATCCCTAAATTGCATAAATTGCACATTGTTATTCCTTGTAACTACTTATTAAAAAAAGCCAATCTTCCTACAAAAAAAAATAAAATAAAAAAGTGAACGCTATACTATCCCAAAATGGCGGACTGATAACTTTGACTTGAGTTAGTTTTTTGATCTCTGAGAATCAGAATTTGGCTTAATTTCACCATAATTGGCCTTTTATTAAAGCTGGATAGTCATAGAATAAAATAAAAAACAATATTAAAAAAAATAATTGGCTTAGGCAATAAAAAGCACCAGCAAAGTAAATTAAAAAAAAAAAAAGAAATTCAAATTGAAAATAAAGCGTTGTTTGTAATTAAACAGCCCACAATAAAGGAAAACGACCTGAAATAAAAACACTGGTAACTTTCTAATATATTTGAAGTGGTTTTGTATAAAATGCACTTAATCGGCGGAAAAGCGGTACTGGCCTCTGCCACATCATTCAGTAATCATAAATGGCATAGTTATAGTGCTATAATAACGTTTATGGTACATTACATTGATTTTATTAACAAAAAAGTAATAATGAAATAATTGTCAAAAAAAACTAAACAATTTATTGATTTATTTAATTTTAATATTATTTCCTTTATCTTATACCGATGCTTTTAAGAAGGCATCTATTGTAAAAATGATATATTTATAATAATAAAACTTAATTCACTGAATATCTTGAATTTTTTATAAACGTTTGCAATTTAACACTTTATTTTTTTGTATTTACTGATTCTTAGAGGTAAGTTGAATTGTATATAGTTTTCCGGAAATGAGTCACATTAATAACCGATTTATAAAGTAACATATATACTTAATCTGAAGTACATGTAATGCATAATTGTCGGGTTTGTTTAATAAAACTCACATACCACTAATAAAAAAATCTATTTCATTTGCTCAATTCCTTTATTTTGTTCGCAGATTGGGCCATATCATAAAAAAATCTGGTGCCCGCAACACACAACTTCTTCACACTTACCGCTTTACTTTGAATAGAAATTATTTTCTGGGAATGTTGGACTATTATAAAATTTTGAAGTGCATTTTAAACGGAGATAAAGCTTAAACCTTACACATAACAAATCATTAAGACCATTAAAATAACAAAAACTCTATTTATTATATCGACAGTAGGAAATAAAAATCTAGTTACTCCATCTGTTTATAAACCACATAACTTCAGTCTCATGTGTGGCTTTCAGTCGACAGAATGACGTTGTATGTTCTTCTTGGTAATCGGAAGTAATTGTTAGTATTTGGTATCAAAATGAGGGAAAACGCGAAATCGAACACAAAAAATTCAGTAAAGCGAATTCACAGGAAAATACAGTAAGCAAATGAGGAAGGTATTCTAAAAATCTCGGCAATAAAAACAAGGACCAGTATCCATTATTTGGCTGAACGAAAATATAGTAGACAGATGGAAAGAAATTTCAAGAAGCTGTTAAGAGGGGGTCAAATGCTGGGGAAGTTTTAATGATATTAAGCATTTTATCTGCAAAAAAGATTATTTCGAAGCATTTGGCAAGTCATTAGGTCTGGACGAAATAACCCGAAATGATGCGCGTACATAGACAACAAATGTGAACATTTACACTCATTTCTCCACTTTTTCAATGTATATTGAATAATATGCCATTAGAAAAATGATATGAATGTAACATCCATCGAGATTCATTCCTGTTCAGCGTGCCACGGAAGCCCTACTCAAGAATCGAAAAAACTAGAATAAGAAATATTGTCGATTGCCAGAGCGATATGGATTGAAAAACTCAAATTGCGCATTGGAACCGAAGTTGCAAATTATGACTATCTTCACTTTAAGGCAGTTTATTGAGAAAGGGAAATAGCTCTCTATCTGCTTATTGTTCAAATACACAAATACACAAATACACAAATCACTTTAGCTTGTTCAAATATCTACTTGTCTTTCAGGAAAGCTCGTCTTCCTTTCTGATTTCTTCAAAGATCTTTTGCAAATGCTCCGAACAGAAGAAGAGCTATTTCCCTTTCTCGATTGACCTCTCTTCGCAGTGAATATAGTCCCAATGTGCAACTTAGCTAGCAATCGAAAATAAAATGTTTTTCACCATAATAAACCTCTATTGTACACTTAATATCATCCGAACTGCCTCAGCGTTTGACCCCCTTTTAACAGCTCCTTGAAATATTCTGGTTAGCTGTCTACTATATACTTAGACCTGTCATAAATATTGTTACAGGGAAATATAATAGGGTGGAGTGGCCAAATGGGCTAACGCTTGTGCACAGCACGGCGAGTTGCCCGGCAACCAGATAAGGGAAGGGATTTTAAAGTCTCAGCCCTAACTCCCGTTCCGGGAAAACCCCGTATAGCCTAAAAGGCGAGGAAGGAGAGTACAAAAAAAAAAAAAAAAAAAAAAAAAAAAACTGGTGCAAATATCTAATATTAATATCAGGTAATATTAATGCGAAGAAGCAAGTAATAAAGTAACATTATAGAATATTAGAGTGTTAAATAAAATAAACAATAATTACATTTCCCTATAAATAAAACGAGTGGTCCGAGATGATATAGAAAAAAAGGCTTCAAATTAAAAACAATCCACATATCAAATTATCCATGAAACAAATAGAAATTCAAAGGGCATAGCTACTCTTCGAAGTATCGTGTTCATGAAAAAAATAGTATAACATTTTGAATTCGAAATTATTTCTTTTTGATACCTGGAATAAGAAGGATCTCTCCAGACTGCATTCTAGGCACCATATTGATCTCTGTATTTTATTTATGGTATTTCTTCTATGCTTTTGTCGCTTTGATAATAGTTCTTCTTTGAAATCCAAAGGAAGCAAATAATTTGAAGGCTGTAAATAAATGTTTGATATGTAATCATTAAATGAATTAATTTCATGATATTATTACTTATCCATTATTCACAATATTTATTATTAAAATAAAAAAACTTATTATTTGTCATTTTAACATCATTTTAATCATCCCGAGTGTTATTCACGATTTTTGCCATTATTCATATTCTATTCAGAAAGACAAGCACTTTTTCTTAGGTATAATTCTCATTTACTATGAATAGAAACGTAAATCATAAGCGTATTTTGGAATTATTCATGAAATGTGAATAAAATATTTAGGAATAATAACATTTAAGACATCTCTGTCTATAAAAGAAAATTAAGATATGTACCAAATGAAATGAAATTTAGCATTAGTATTAGTCCCAAAAAGTTTTATGTTGTTGGAGATTTGATTTCTTGGGAAGTTCCAAGATTGAAAAAAAATATTAATTTTAATCATTCAAATAAGAAAAAAACTGATTTCATTTCCTTGAACATTTCTGATTTATCTTTTAATCTTTGTTGTGACAACTGGAATATACCTGGATAATATATGTACCTGGAAGCAAGTTCATTACAAGAAAATAACAATTGTTGATTCTCAGATAATGAGAAAATTATTTTCTACTGATAGTAACGTAATAAATAGAGACCGGATTTTCGTACAGTAAAGAACCAAAAAATGTGTAATATAAAACTCAAAATGTGCAAAATCATGCAGTAATAACCCAGAACGTGTAGCACTATTTATAACACGCAAAAATCATAGTTTTCGTTTAATTTATAATATGAATGCTTATTTACTCTCATCTTAAAGACCTAAGAAAAAATTAATTCTAATTTTTTTTTTTTTTTTATTTGTATTCGCCTCTGCCCTAGAGGGTCATTGGCGGTTTTTCTTAATTTTTATATTTTACTACAGTGATTTGTTTCCAATAAATATTCAAAGAGAATGACGATATTTTCCTCATTGTCTCCCAAAATATCTTTCAATTTTGTCGAAAGCTTTAGTTTTTGTCTCTCTTTTTTATATTGGGGGCACTCTAATAGTAAATGCTTGACTGTTTGAGGTGTATTGTCACACTTTTCACAGGTTGGCGCTTCGAGACCTCTAAGTAGGTATCCGTGTGTGAAAAGGCAGTGTCCGATTCGCATCCGGCACAATATTATTTCTTCTCTTCTCGACCTTCTGAAGCTTGTGGTCCATGTGTTGCACTTGGTTATTATTTCGGTTAGTTTGGCTCATTGTATTTTCCATTGACTTTCCCAATTCTTATTTAAATGAACGTCTATTAACCTAATTCTGTATGGAAGAAAAGCAGCTTACAAAAAATTAATCATATATTTTTTTAAAAACTGATGAGGTTTTTAATTCAGGCTTGATTTTACAGGCTGAAGATCAATTTTTTTTTTTTTTTTTAACTTTTATTATGATATTTACAACTGTATTAGTATGAATACATCTAGTAAATTTGTACAGAGAAATATTATTACATGAAACACTCTTGTTGAGAAACTACCCACTGGTAGCACTCTAAAGATCAATTTAAATTTTTAAAAAGTAGATTTTGAGTTAAGCTCCTTAAAATTAAAAACTGTTTCTGGCTTTATGCCGTCCATGACCTGTTTCAACTACGAATCGAATCTAATATATAATAAATGTAAATGAATATTTACAAACATACCTATGCACATGTTATAAGGGAAATTTGGTTCAAGAATTTTACTTTATAATGTTTTTTTTGTTTTTTTTTAACTTTTATTATGATATTTACAACTGTATTAGTATGAATACATCTAGTAAATTTGTACAGAGAAATATTATCACATGAAACACGCTTGTTGAGAAACTACCCACTGGTAGCACTCTATTTTTATAATGTTAAAAGTGAAATTTAGCCCTTAAATTGTAAAAAACCATCCGAATCCTCTTGTTTCTAACCTTGCTTCTTCTTCGATTCTTGATAACCCTCTGAGGCGTCTGAAAAGAAAATGGCCTCGTGATCTCCTCATGTAGACAAATTATTAGAGTGCTACCAATGGGTAGTTTCTCAACAAGCGTGTTTCATGTTATTTATTCCTCTGTACACATTTACTTGATGTATTCATACTAATACAGTTGTAAATATGATAATAAAAGTTAAAAAAAAAAATTGTAAAATATGCAATATCTCATTTCTAGTTGTTTATGTTTCTTGCATTTTACTATATCATAACTGTTATTACTTTGTATTAAATATAATTTTAAAAAATGTAAAAAAGATGTTTTTATTAGAGAAGAAAGTGTAGGTACTGAAGAGAGCTAGAGAAAGTTTTCTTTTCGAAATGTTTAATTGTAATAATAAAATTTCTAAATATTCCGAGATTACAGCAATTATAACAAAACAAAAAAAAAAAAAACTTGCGAAAAACATCACAGTATAAAAATCATATACTTATGACATAAGAATGTAATATTTACAAACATTTGTAGAACGAAGACGCTTTTTCAATTTTTTTACTAAAAACCTTTTTTTTAATAACGATGAAAAGTATTCAGGATGAGTAGTCAAAAAATTAAGTACATTGAGTCATACAATAATTTCATGAAAACTAAGTTTATTTAGTTTGGCAAACTCATTAAACTTTTTTTTTTTTTTTTGCATTTCCTGACCGTTTTTCGTACTTAAATGTCAACAGTCAACTATATATACACATCTATATTTTTTTAAATTAAAATATTTATTTGAATTAGTTTTTTAAAAAATATTATGGTATTGTGCATTTATGAAAAAAAAAGTCTTACTTATTGCATCAATACGTTAAATTCATTATAATTGCTTGAGAATAAACAAAATAGCAAATGAACCTTTTTCTCACTTTTTTAATCATTATTATATATAAATTAATAAGTTAATGTGCATTAAAGTATTGCTCTCATATAGAAAGGTAAATGGTAATCTTAAAACGTCCAGACACAAGAGCAGGAGAAATAATAGTGATCTAGTGTTTACATCAGAGCACTAGCGGATCCAGGATTTCATTTTGGGGGGGGGGGGAGGTTCAGCTCGAAAGCTGTTTTTTTCATAAAAATAACGATAATTACTTTGGAAAAAGGAAAGAAACTAACTACGTGTATGAAACGGTGTTTAAATGATTCCTAAAGCCCTTTGAAATGTAATTGCACAAACAATAATACTAGAGATACTTTTTAAATATTTTTTTCGATAAAACATGGCTATATTTTACCATTTTGGGGGGGGGGGAGGCGTCACCCCGAAAGCTCTCCCCCCCTCCCGTAGATCCGCCCGTGCATCAGAGCTCGATTCCTCCCTACTGTTTTCCTCTGAATGACTGAACCTGGTAATTTTATAGACCTTGTTTTGTTTCACCCGGCCCCGAGGTAGTAAATGCTTTTAAGTACATTATTTAAAATCGACCTAGCAGGGAATTCTTCCGTACACATATAACTAAAAGTGGTAGTTAAATCTACGCAGGTATTGAAGTTACAAGATTAAATTAAATTTGAAACTTGCTTTTCTCGATTTTTCGATGTAGGTACTGCCTTAACTTTCTGCCTACTTAACTTTCCGAATTTTACTCCGTTTAATTATATTGTTTAATGACGAAAAAAACAGTTAACGCAGTTGCAATAGTGCATGTGCAAAGGGACATAATATAATCAAAATATAGACAAAAATCAATACTAACAAGGGCAGGTTTTGAACGTAGGGTCACCAATTACAAAGAAACTTTTTTCGGTGATACTAGGTCGAAATATATACAACCCATGTTTTAAAAATCTTGCCATGCCTCTCCCCTATGTGCCGAGAAAAAGTATTTCATGAAATTTTAAATTTTTAATATTACTGCTTTTGCTCTGCATGGATTTCTAGGTTGTAATATATCAAACGATTTGTATTTTTATGAGAATTAAGAAAAAGTATTGCACATTGTATTGAACAAACTAATAATTAATAATTAAAAGTTATAATAAATTACAAAAATCAAATGACGCTTCCAGTAAAGTAGGCCTAAAAAATCATGAAAATCCGATTGCAATTCGTTTCTAGCGTTCTTTAAAACTCTTAAATACGAATTTGTTTTGAAATAAAAAATACATATAAATTTTCGGACCATAACCGATGGAAAGCTGAATTATTGCTCTTTCAACAATTATCAATCATTTTAGATTTTAGGTCATTATAAGGAATAAATAAGCAAAACTCATAGGTTTTTGTTTTATATTTTCAGTTTTGATTTGTTCCATTCCATTCCATCATTCCAGTTATAGTTTGTGTCATTTCTTATTGTTTGTAGGGCTTAAGCCTCTTCTAAATTTCATATGACCCAATACGTTTTTATTTTATTTTCTTTAAAAATCAAAGGCTGCACCCTTGGCGAAATTTTTGAACAAACAGTTTTTATTATCCGTTTTCTGTGAAAATTCGTATTTAAAGATTTTTCGATGTGCAAAATAAAAATACTGTATATTATATGTAGTATAATATTGTATGTTTACCATATATGTATTCTTCTTCTTCTTCGCAGTCCAACGTGGACTTTAGCCTCCTGTACAATTCGATTCCATGCGTCTCGATTCAATTCCAGCTGTTTCCATCCACTGATTCAAATCCTTGTCAGATCATCTTTTAGGTCGTCTCCGGCTATCGCCTCCTAGGGCGTCCTCTTTTTCTTTTTCCGGACACGATCTTTCCCATTATTTTCTTTGTCAGCCTATCATCTTCCAAACTCTGCACATAACCGAGCCAGCTAATTCTTCGTGATTTTATGAAGCGTAATATATTTTCATGAATTTTTAAGTCTTCCAGTTCCTGGTTATTTCTTATGCGCCATTCATCCTGGACGCAAACTAGATCAAAAATATACCTAAGAATCTTATACGAACTATATCTGTATGCCGAATATTTTTTTGTAAACCCTACATTTCGCCTACTATAACAGTTCTATAGTAGTTTAATTTGTATTTATAGTTTGTTATATATATATTATACCTTTAAAACGCAACGAAA